GCCTTAGCCGGTTAAGCTATAGGCGCCGAGCCCCAGAAGTCACTTCTTTAGGAGTTTGTCCTGGGTTAGAGTGACAGTCATCAAGATCACAATCAGTCAACTTGAATTCATGATTTATTCCTATTTTTTTTGCAGGGCTGAAAAGTCAGCAATTGCTAAATCTCTTTTATTTTTCCTTTTTCTTACACTATGAAATAACAAGACCACTTGCTCAGCTCCGTGAGTTAATAAATCAAACGTATTTACGGTTCTTTGCCCAGACACACACTTGGTGTTACTTACTGCCCCTTTTTCATTCTCTCTTAGTTCTCAAGATGAATGTTTCATAACTGTTTAGACCATTGTGGGCTTTGATTTACAGCAGTATCCCCCATCATTCTCTCACTCTGGCTTCTGAATAGGCTTGCGTAGGGCCTTCCTGTAGAGAATCGCTGACCATCACAGCACATACATTCTGAAGAAGATGCTCCCCTGGAAATCTACAGGAAGATGGCTTTCCAGATAAGGGTTGATGATCATATGATCACTATCACTCATCTTGATACTGCTACTCTAAAGCTGGTGACTTGGGGGACACACTGTCTTGATTTATATTGTACATATGAGTGGGAATTCTAAAATGCAAGAGAAATAGAGGGCTTGGATGAGAAGTGTTGTATGAAAAAGAAGTGTGGAGTGAGAGTCACTACAAAAAAGAGTGGAATTGACTTCTCCTTAGGCGTTTGGTTTATCAGAATGAAAGACAATCACTTAGAGTGGTGGATCTGAGAAGGGAACAGCAAACCATCAAACACTTCCCATACATGGTTTCTTCTTGCATTTAATTAGGGCCTAGTTTTTTTTTTTAAGTCTAATGAGTTTATAGCAGGGCTCAATACTAAAATCTCTATCTGAAAATTAGTTTTAATGGAGTCACAGGAGCCTCAAATTATTCAATATTTGCTATTGTATTTATCTTTGTTTAAAGCATGGCTGCTCTATGGCCTACTGGCTGAATAGTGCACGTGTGGTAAACTAGGTATCTTCGTGTTTTGTTTCATTGTCCCCAAATAACTTAGCTATTTCTGATAAAGAAAGCTGTATTAGGGGAAAGGATGAAAATCAGTTGGGGAATGAGGTAGAAAGAAATGAGAGGCTTGAGATTTTATAAACTTCATTGCAAAGGAAAGCTGGCATTCATTTCAAATCAAGGTCTATACTTTGCTGCGGTGGATTCTGCTCACAGATTTCTACTCAATAGAGTAGAACACATATCGTCTTAAGAATGAATAGCTTTACTACACGTATTGTGAAAGATGTACATCTTTCCCCATCAATCATACACCTGGCTGATTTCATGCATATTGCTCAGCAAGAAAATGTCATTAACCATTGATACAGAAGCACTTGTTTAATTCAGTTACTACATCTTGTTAGTTTTTTTGTTTGTTTGTTTGTTTTTGGCCAGGGCCGGGTTTGAACCCACCACCTCTGGGATATGGGGCCAGCGCTCTCCTCCTCCTTTGAGCCACAGGCACCGTCCCACCTTGTTAGTTTTTATCAGTGGTGGGGGACCTGTCATGGGGGTCCTTTAAAAAGGACCTGTCGTGTTGTCAAATGCACACTGCCCCACAGGGAGGGGCATTTTGAATGATTTTCCCACTTCTAATCTTCTCCTTTTAGAAAAGAAATCTATAATGCTTCATGAATATTTGTACTTAGATCTTTATTGTAGGTTCCATTGTAGAAGGAATAAGTGTAAATGGACATTCTTTATTTCCATAATTATTTTCAGAGTATTTTGGCTATCGACCTAGTTTTATAAGTCAATGCATTTTTAACACCAAGGACATTTTTGGACAGCAAGAATAAAGCTGTTCTGATTTATCTCATGGAGAAATAAGATTGCCCCCCCAAAGGTAGCCATTTATAATATATACACTTTTGAATAATTAAATGAACTACTGAAGAGGAAATGGATTCTAATCAGCTTTCAAACTGTGATTGTGCCATGCACTGAATCATTCCTTTATGAATACATTTCTCTTGGAGCATGTATAATTATGAAACTTTTTTTTCTATCTCGGTAGGAACTGGGAAGTAACAGCCCTCCACAGAGAAACTGGAAGGGAATTGCTATTGCCCTGCTGGTGATTTTAGTTGTATGCTCACTCATCACTATGTCAGTCATCCTCTTAACCCCAGGTAATCTGTCTTTATTCCTCTCTTATGATGGTATTGTGGATGGTAATTTCACATTCAAATGCCTTAAGAGGGTAGCGATATGTGGTAACTTAGGGCACATTAGCATTGGTTGGAATTTTGTAAAAAAACATAATCAGACATTTTCCAAATGGCACAGTAATTCTGCAGTTCAAATATCATGCAGCACATTTTGAGGAAGCTGAAAATGCAAACTATTTAAATTGAGAATGCCAAGGAGATTTTTAGTCTCCATTTCTACCGAGGGACTTACTGTGTTTGTCAAGTTGCTAAACGTAAGCCACGTTTGACTTTTGAAGATAAGGAAGTAGAGCCTGGAAATTTCCATAGGTACATGATAACTCAACTGGATGGAAATGGAAAGAGGATTTGAGGGGAAAAGAAGAGCACAGCAAAAGAGAGTAATCTAAGCTTCCAATTGTGAGCACCTCTTCTTTCTGTCTTCTTTTCCTTTCTTTTACTTTTACATTCTAAGTTTCTCTTTAATCTAAAGAACCTCTCCAAATTGCTCTAGCTCTGATCTTTGGGCTATGTTCTTCAGATTAAAGAGTTTAACACTTACATAGAAATTATCAGTAGGCTTAATTCTGCTTTGGGGAAAATTTCAATACCCAGGAGATTTTTTTACTCCTTTGTAGGTGCTAATAAGGGAAGCAGAGATAAGGGACTTGTTGGGGGTCAGGATTGTGGTTCCTTGAACCCAGTTTGATTATTCTGCTGAGCTAGAAAGTTCAACCCAGGCACAGCAGCAATTGAAAGCAAAAATGAATGGAAACTGAGAGTAAAACTGGAGCCACCCAGGTAGCGTGAACAGAGCACAAAAGTAATCTGCAAAAGATATAGGGTAACAAAGAGAAATTATATTTAGGTAGAACAAAGAGAAGGTTTAGAGCACTTCCAAAGAAAGTTGGAAGTGGGTTCGTCCGATGATGGAGCAGAGGTGAGAGAGATGCAAAGGCCTGCAGGGGTACAAATATCCCCTCCATTTGAAACTGGTTGCAACTCTTTCATTGGCCTCTCTGTGTCTCCAGGCAGTATTGACCTTTTCTATTGGTCATTGATTGTCTTTTCTATTGGTCATTGATTGGTTACTTGGGTTACTTCATTCTTCTAATTTATGGGCCCTCCAGAATTTCTAGTTCAGCAGGCTACGTTTTCCTCCCACCCCCCTTTTAGCTACCTTTCTTAGTTTTAAAATTCCTAAAACTGTCATCCAGGTAAGTTTGGTATGTTGCTACAACCCACCCACTTAACTGTCTTCTCAAAGACTAGACACCTGTATATGGCACAGTATTATGATAAATAGTCACTTATTAAGGTAATCTGAAAATCAGCTGATATTATAAAGTGATAGCCTGTTGTTGAATGTTCAGTTCCTTTCCCAGCTTTGTTATTTTATGAGTCCCTTAAACACATTGAACTTATTTCCTGATGTGCAAAATGTGATTAAAGATAGCTCTTTTTCAGAGTCATTTACTCAAGTAATTACAATGACCAATTATACAAATGGCAGTATCAATCGATTGTGCTAATGTGAGACTTCGTCAAATATACCATCTTTGTAAAAATATTGACTTTGAAAAGTGTAAACTGCCAAAAATATGTTTTGTAGCTGTTATTTAACATATGACTTGATTGAGAAAGAAATTAAGGGAGCCAGGAGGGAAGAAAGAGAAGAGAAAGAAAATTGAAACAAAAAAAAAAAAAAAGGAAAGAAAGAATAGAAAATTTCCAGTAAGAACGGCTTATCCAACATTCTCTTCAGGATCCTTCTTTTAACTGCCTCATTTGCACATCTGTAGTACAATGTAATTGGGCAATGTGATTGCTCTAAGTTGCTGCCAAGTGCCAAGAATCTTTGTTAAAGGAAGATGTGCTTCAGCATGGTGTTTCACTTAAACATAAAATTTCAGCATAATTATAAAAAATGAATGACTTGGTTTTGGTGTTTTCTATTGGTAGCTATTAACCAGATGGAGGATGTTGGTGTTACAATGCCTGTGCATTTCTGTTAAACTTGCTTCTTGTAGCCTGATTCACTGTGAGATTCTAGTTATTCACTCAGATCACGGTGATACTTTGGAACCCTAGAGAGTTTGATATAATAGACCATAAAGAGTTGGCCAATCATTAAATTAAATTCCTCCTACCCAACCCTTTCCACTTTCTCCCAGGATGAAACCATAGTTTCATTGTGTTCATATGGCCATGTGCTTGCTTGAATAAATGACAATAGCAAATGACTTTTTGTTCATTCATTAGTCATTCACACATCCAATAGAAAATGATGGAATTCTTACTGCATCCCAGGTATTGTGGCAGTTAGACCCCCCCCCGCTGTCTCATAACTTTCTTCCTCCATTATGCAAACATGCAAATTTAGAGAACCCATACATCCCCAAACCAAAGACTTAGTTTCACTTGAGATGAAACGTACCAATGGAAGTGGCAATTATTATCTAGGTTACTGTTTACTGAGTGCATCTCACGTAACACAAGTTCATATGTCCTTGCATTTCACTATTGTTTTTGGCAAGGATATTATAAAAAAAATCAAATCATTAATCATTATTCTAGAGTGGAAAAAGTATTTCTATAGGAAGCAGACTCCCTATTTTGCACAGAGTGTGTTCTACGTCGTCTGTTGGTAAACTCAGTGTCACCAAGAGACCTGGAAGATTATAGAAATCAGTGAAGTAGGTAAGTATGAGGACAGTGGGTAGGATTTGGTTGAGTTGTGACCAAGCATAATGCCAGCCTAGTTCCACGGCCATTTGGTGGGCTCAAACCAGCATCACAGTGATATAAAACTAGAATGCTAACATTTGGCAGCTGGAGACTGGAGTCATCAATCTGGAATCACCCTTAGATGTTAACTAGTGTTGCCTCCCTCAATGGGCAGGGAAATGAATCTGTTTTCATTAAACTTTTGGTGTAAGAATAAGAATATACATTAAAACCTTGTACACTTTTGAGTTTGCATTTGTGTGTGGCTGTGCGGTCAGACTTTAGTGCTCTAATCACACCAAACTTTCCTTTTTTAATACTAAAATTCCCTCAACTATGTTAAAATAAATCCATAGGAAATACTTTGAGCTGGAAAAATAATGTTTATCATTTCGCTTCTAATATTCCCTTTGTCCACCATAAGTCTGCAAGGCCCGGCTTTCTGGGTAAAACCACTTAGGCAGGAGGAAATTTTCAAACAACTCTTCCAATAAGGGTCAGGATCAGAAATTTATGTGGCTTTTTTAGTTATGTAACTTTGGCTGAGTCATTTACCTCCTTTGACATCAAGTGCTTTACTGAAAAAAAAGACATCTTTATTTGCTAGAATGTGATCTCTTGCACTTTATAACAACACTGATGTCTATGATCTAATGTAATAATAAAAACTAAAGAAATAATAGGGGCTTAAGGACAAACCACAGCAGATTAAAACCAGTGTTTTCAATAAGACTTTCTACGTTGAAAATACACTTAGTGTTTTGTTTTTTGAAAGATAAATGTGCATAAAAATTTATCTAATCTAAGACATTATTTTGAAGCTAATTTTGTGGGTAAACGATAAAGAATTCAAGCTCACAACCCAAGAAACACATGTTCATTGTGATTTGGTTTGATTGGAATGTTGCAGCAGAAGTAATTTCACACAGGTGCCTTAATTTCCAAAATTGTCAGAATCTTTCCTTCCTTGTGAAGAGAAGTCCTGATTATTTTGGAGAAGTTAGTTAACCATTCAGATATTTCCTTTAATAAGTAACTATTGTGAAAGGAACAATGTATTCACTCCATTTTTTTATTAAAGGGAGGATTTATTTAGATGCATTAATCAAGCCTACATATCTTTAGTTTATACTGAGTTAATAGTATAATAATTTAGTTTATATTAATTATAAAATAATTATAGTCTACAAGTATGTGAGGTTATGTTCATGCTTGAAGTTGTGGAATCCAGTCTCATGTAGCTGTGTATTTACTGTGTACTCTCATCTTGACATCTATATGTAAAATGGGAAGGACCATGCTCAGGAAAACATTGCCTGCAGAATACAATTTTGACCTGTTTGGGGACTAGAAGTGCAAATTTCATGAGTTCATTAGAATATATTGATTAGAGGGCATACATCGAGCTCGTCAATCCACCTGCCACACTGAGATAGCCACCTAGGAACGGTGTGTGCTCCAAATTTCCTCAGCAGTGTGGCCTGTTGCCCTTTGACTGTGTCTGTAATCATTAGGCGCCAAGACAGAGTCATCCTGTTGATTTACCATTATGGCTGACTAAGGAAAAAATTGTAAAGTACTAAAATTTTGCCCAGTTAGCTCTTGTGCTTGCTTCTTTTAGCAACTTCCCAAGTAGTCTGTGTTATAATTCCTTTAGAACTCTCCCCAGATAGGCATGGAAGAGTGATCTTTGCAGGTCTGTCAGCATATAAAGGAAGCCAAGCATACAAGTATCTAGGGAAAAGCACTCAGGCAGGTGGAAATTTTCTTAACAGGTAAGATAGTCTATACCAGGACAGGAAACCTCTGATCGTGAAAATACGAAAATATTCAGCAACACACTAGACATTTTAGGAGAAAGGTCTGACTCTAGAACAGCTCTTCCAATAAGGGTCAGGGTCATAAATTCAGTGGCTTTTTTACTTATGTAACTTTGGGTGAATCGCTCACTTCCTTTGTCATCAAGTGTTTTATTGAACCAAAGGACATCCTTATTTGCTAGAATGTGATCTCTTGACATTTATAAAATCAGAGTGCCATTTAGTCTAGTTATACAAACAAGAATTTAATAGGGACTGTCCACTACTCAGTTGCCTTTTCACTGTGTAGATCCCTTTATTTTCACTTTTAGAAGTATTTATAATATTAAGAATTTTAACCTAGGTTCATTTGCTGTGTTGTGAAATAATTTATATAGATTGAGACTCTATTATTGATAGTTAGGTAAGACTTTAACTCAGGTAAGTATTAGGTTC